CACCTAACCATTACAACCAGTGGTGGGATTCAAATAATTTAACAACCGGTTCTCTACCCTAATGACCAGCTGGTAGGCATGGCTCAGTGGTCATGTGACCATGTGGGTGTGGCCAACTCAACGTCACTCAGGTCGATAGGCGCTTTGCCTTAGCTGTTACAATGTAATAAGGGCTAAGAAGAGAGGCAGTTTCTGTAAGCAGGGCAATAAAGATCAGGCTAGAAACACCACCAGAATGTTTCCTTCCTGCCTTCCTTACAGGATTAGCCCTGTAAAGTGGAAAAAAACAAAAGGAGATTTCTTCAAACAACCGGTTCTCCGAACTGCTTAGAAAGTTAACAACCAGCTCTACCGAATAGGTGTGAACTGGCTGAATCCCACCACTGATTACAACCTCAACACAAGTTTAGGAAAACTACTCAATGGTAATTTGAAGGACTTAACTGCTTCTGACCATAGAGAAGTTCTATGACAATGTTGGTGAACCTTTTTTCCACAGAGTGCCGAAATGGGAGTGCGTGCGTATGCGCCCACCCGCATGCCAGGAACCAGAAGAGCAGCCGCCCAGCAGACGTGTGTGCCAGAAAGATAATCTTCTGGTTTCCGATGCGCACATACGCACCAGCCAATTTATCTTTGCGTGCGCATGCACGCCAGAAACCGGAAGACCAGGCAGACGGCACACATGCGCATGCTGGAAACCGGGAAATCATCTTCCTGGCATGTGCACCGAGCAGCTGCTCTTCTGGTTTCCGGTGCTCCCGCGTGCAGGAAAACCAGCTGGCTGGTGGGCCGGAAACTGGAAGAACAACGGGCGGTGGCTCACATGTCCGGAAAGATGGCTCTGCATCAGTGGTGAAATCCAAATTTTTTTACTATCAGTTCTGTGGACGTGGCTTGGTTGGTGTGGTGTGGCTTGGTGGACATGGCAGGAGAAGGATACTGCAAAATCCCCATTCCCTCCCCACTCCAGGGGAGGCATACTGCAAAATCTCCATTCCCTCCCCATTCCTGGGGCCAGCCAGTGGTGATATTTGCCGGTTCTCCAAACTGCTAAAAATTTCCACTACCGGTTCTCCAGAACCTGTCAGAACTTGCTGGATTTCACCCCTGCTCTGCATGCCACTTCCGGCACGTGTGCCATAGGTTCGCCATCACGGTTCTATGAGAAGCTCTAGAGAAGGTGATAGCTCCCCGTCTCAAATTCTTAATCTTTGTAGCAAGAAAGCCCACTGAGTCATTCTACCCCAAAGAAATGTTTTGTCCTAAACTTGCTATCTGATCAGACGATGGCCTTAAATTTGGGGTAATCCGCAACCTGGAGTCCTTCAGGTGTTTTAAACTTTTAAGCCATGTTAGGCAACGAACGGTGGAAGTTGTAGTTGAAACACAAGGCTGCCTATGCTTGTTCTAAGTCAAGTGCAGAAGAAGTAGAGCTGCAAGTAGCATCAAGAAAGTGTTCCAATGCAGACCAATTATGTCTTGTGTACATTTCACCTGATCTGCTCTCCCCAACCCCTTTGTTTGTCTCTCCTATAAGTGAAAGACAATAGAAACCTTCTACCGTAGTGGCCAACATTGTGGAAACCTTTTGGGAAAAGTGTATTTTTGAGGTTTGATAGCTAATAACACCTCTTCTTCTTCTCCTTCTCCTTCTCCTTCTCCTTCTCCTTCTCCTTCTCCTTCTTCTTCTTCTTTTCCTCCTCCTCCTCCTCCTCCTCCTCCTCCTCCCTCTTTTTCTTCTTCTTCTTTTTTTTTTTTAGTTTCAAGATAATCCTATTCCACTGCTGGAATTGCCTGGGAATAGCCCAGACTTTAACCCAATTGAAAATTTAGGGAGCCGACTAAAGAAACTTGTTAGTCAGAAGCAACCCAGCAATAAAACCCAGTTAATAGAAGCCATCATTCAATCTTGGTTTCACATGATAACAGCTGCAGAACTAAAAGACTTGGTTCACTCCATGGGAAGACGTTGTAAGGCCATAGTTCCTGCTAAAGGTTACCCAACTAAGTATTAACTGACATGGTGATATTTTTTTGTATATCTCGTTTTATCTACGTGCTTCACTTTTCTTCTTTATACTGCATCTGCTATTCTAATAGCAAATCCTTCATAAAAGTTATTGCACTGCATTCTCAATTGAATTATCTTTCCATTGATATATAATTTTACGGTACTACTCCAAAGAAACAAAGTGGTGTCATTAGCTAGTTTTAGAAAATACACTTTTCCCAAAAAGTTTCCACAATTTTGGCCACTACTGTATGGCATTTACAGATGGAACTGTTCAGACCAGAAGATGGTAGACATCCCTAGTCAATCCATGGAGCTACCAGACTGGAGATCTAGCAGCAGGAGGAAAGAAGGGAAGATTCCAACATCCCCTTAGCAATTGTTGTCGCTCTTGGTCAAAGAGGGAGCCCCTTCAATTCTGCCTTCTTCCTACGACCTATTTATTGATCTCACTACAAACTGGGCCAGAAATGTTCCAGCCCAAAACTAGGTTCAAAAGGAATGTCAGGGGTGTCAGATTGACCACCAATGGCTGCAGAGAATCACAAGAGGAAGCTTTGAGGGAGGTGAGCTGTCAAACACCCCGAGCCCTGAAATGATCCTTCCAGAAACTATCCATGCCAAAGGGGCTATTTCAAGAGGCAACTGGGACTTTCTGGTTTTGCTTAGAAGATGTTTCGCTTCTCCTCCAGGGAGCTTCTTCAGCTGAAGAAGCTTCTTGGAGGAGAAGCGATACGTCTTCAAAGAAAAAGTCCAGAAAGTCACCAGTTGCCTCTTGAAAAAAAGCACCTTTGGGACAACCATGACCTGGAGGACGGAGAATCTCCATAGATATCCATAAATCACTTGTTGCCTTCTCCCACAGCAAAGCAAGACATTCTAGAGCAGAGGTCTGCAACCTTAAACACTCAAAGAGCCATTTGGACCCGTTTCCCACAGAAAAGAAAACACCGGGAGCCACAAAACCTGGATGGGCATGGCCAACTCGACCTCACTCACTTCCACCAGTCACATGACACCCCCCCCAGCCACGCCTACCCAGCCGGTCATTAGGGCATAGAACTGGTTGTTAAAAAACACCAGGAATCACAAAACCCTTTTGACATCTCTCTCTCCCTCCTACCTCCCTCTCTCCCTCTCTCCCTCTCTCCCTCTCTCCCTCTCTCCCCACCTCTCTCTCTCTGTATCTCTCTATGTCTCTCTCTCTCCCCCTCTGTCTGTATCTCTCTCTCTGCCCCGGCCGCTTCTCCATCCCCCGCCATCGCCCTTACCTTCTCAGGCCAGGTGAGGAGTGACTGGGAGGGGAGGGTGAGGAGCAAGGCCAGCCAGTGGTGGGATCACCCAACAGGAAGCCACAGCAGAAGGCCCAAAGAGCCGCATGCAGCTCCGGAGCCGCAGGTTGCTGACACCTGTTCTAGAGCAAGGCTGTCCAACCTTGGCAACTTTAAGACCTGTGGACTTCAACTCCCAGAATTCCCCAGCCAGCCACAGGTCTTAAAGTTGCCAAGGTTGGATATCCCTGCTCTGAGTGTCATTGGCCCATACAGCTCATCCCGCTACATGACAGCACCCAGCTGGCCTTGCCTGGCGGACATTCCATCCAGACCTAGTGTGTCAAGTATTTGCAAGCCATTGGCACATGTGTCATATAGACACCAGTGGAGGCAGAGAGTGTCTCCACCCCTATGTGGAAAGGAGGGGCTTACCCTGAGTATAAAACCCCCTCCAACCTTTTCCACCTCTCTCTCTCCATCTCTCTCTCTTCATGTTTGTTCCTCATGAGACTTGATCTCTGTTGTACATAGTTAATATGATTTATCATATGAATAAATACGTTTAAGACATTTATTTATGCATCTGCCTCTGAACTCTTCTATGCTCCTGGGTGTTTCTACAATCCCAATTCCACATAGTGAGCTGCAGGATGGGAGGCCACACAGAAAATCGAGAACTGTGGTTTCAACTGGGAAGCCAATACCCGAGAGGAAAGCAAAGGCCCAGGCTGCTCTTCCAGGCTGCTAACAAGGAAACGAGAGATGGATATATGCATGAAGTCAGGCTGACTTACCTGACCTCTCCTTGCAAGCGCGTCCAAACAAGCAATTTGTACCATCATTCCCCCCATCAAGCAGGCAAGCTTTTACACAATAGCAGGTGATGCTCTCAATCCCTAATGGGCACATTTTGAAAAGGATCTTCGGCAGCACCTAGAACCAGCCTCTTCCCACCCTCAGCCCTCACTCCCTGCTTATTTGGAAGCTACCACATACTGTGCCTTGTCCCAAAAGGTGCTGTTTTGAAGACTTTCTGGTTTTTCTTCAAAGACCTTTCGCTTCTCGTCCAAGAAGCTCTTTCCGCTTTGACTGAATGGTGAGGAATGGAAAGTCAGAGCTGAAAGAGCTTCTTGGATGAGAAGCGAAACGTCTTCCGAGAAAACCAGAAAGTCCAGTTGCCTCTTGTAGAAAGCACCTTTGGGACAACCTGGATGACTGAGAATCTCCATAGACATACTGTGCCTTGCTTCACGGAGATGCGTCCTAGATCGAGTCGCTGCCTAAGAAAACAGCCGGGGGGGGGGGGGACCCCAGGCAAGGGAACAAGGAGGATTTCATCACCACCATCCCTGCAGAAGCGTGCATCATCTGCACCACATCTGGATTCTTACGGCGCCTCCTCCTCCTCCTCCTCCCCTGGTCCCGCGGCGAAGACAGTCGCTCCAACACGGGGGGGGAGCTCAGTGCTTCTGGAGGCGGGGAGAGGCGACAGTATCTCTTCCCCTCCCCACATCCTTCCCTTCCCGCCTGCAAAGGCACGCAGCCCCCGAGGGAGGGGACAGGCAGAAGCACCCAGAGGGGGGAGAGAGGGGGGGGGAAAGCTTGTTAGGAGGCGGGAGTCCCGCTCCAAGAGCGCAGGGAGCGGAGCCGCCTTCCCCGTTTTTCCCCGGCCGTCCCGTCCCGTCCCTCCGGCCCGGTTCGAGCCCCCCCACCTGTTTGGTGAAGAGGATGGCGGTGTCCCAATACTCGGGGTGCTTGTCGCTGCCCTTGTTCCACTTCTTCTGCCAGACGCAGAAGTTGCGCAAAGTCAGCGCCGCGTTGCCCGTCACTTTGGGCCCCTTGTCGTCTTGCCCGATGACCATGAAGTGGACCACCGCCAGATTGATGGGGTTCTGGATGCTGGGGTGCCGGTAGAGCCGGGCGGCCGTGGCCATGAGGGTCAGCAGGTAGTGCTGGAGGTCATCGCCGTGGAACTTGACCATGGACTCGTCGGCCACCACCAGAGTCTCCACGTACCTGGGGATGGAGACGAAGCGCTTGGCGCGGCCGCTCTTCCTGGCCCCCGAGGGCATCCCCCGGCCCGTCTCGTTCTGGCCCGGCTTGGCCCCTCCGGACCCGGAGCCCTTGTACTTCTCTAGGGCTTGCACCAAAGCCGGGTGGGAGGCCGAATCCACCCCGCAGCGAGAAGTGGCCGCGGCGTGGCGAGGCGCGCTCCGCCGCTGCAACAGGTGCGCCCCTTGGCTGTTGCGCAGCGCCCCGCCGCCGCCCTCGGTGGCGCTGGCGTTGCGGACCGGGCTGATGAGATACTCGGCCCCGCGGTAGCCGAAGGCGCCGGTCAGCCCTCCGCAGAGGCTCAGGGCGGCGAAGGAGTCCCGATCCGAGTTGACATCGCCGGAGTAGAAGCAGCGGCGCAAGTCCCGGTGCTCAGCCCTCCGCGGGGAGCCCAGGTAACGGGTGGCGAAGGCGGGCGCCAAGAACTGGGCATCCGGGCTCAGGTTCAAGTAGAAATCCTCCTGGAAGGCGGTGATCTGGAAGATGGCCCCTGGCTGGGGGGGTTCCTCGGCCCCCCGCTGGAAGTACTGCCGCCCGTTGAGATCCGGATCCAGGCGGATGGGAATCACGATCTCCGTCGGCATCGCAACGCCCAAGCCGGGCAGCAGAGCCAGGCACAGCCAGAAGGAACCCCGCAAGAGAGGCGGCATGGCTCGCCCAGCCCGGAGGAAGATCTGGCTTCGCCTGGGCGGCGAGGTCACTTGCGCATCCGCCCGGCGGAAGGCAGAGTCTCCGCGTAGGTCCGGAGTCCCGACCGGCGCCCGTTCCGCCCTCCGGTTCCTTGCCCGGCTTTTAAAGAAGCATCTTCGCTTCTTGCTCCTTCTCCTTCGCCCTCTTCTTCTCCTTCTTCTTCTCCTCCTCCTTCTCCTCCTCCTCCTTCTTCTTCTCCTTCTTCTCTTTCTCCTTCTCCTTCTCCTCCTTCCCCTTCTCCGCCGCCTCCGGGTCTTCCGCCACCCCCCCGCGCGCCCAGCACCTGGGTTCTCCAAAAGGCGCTGGGCTTGTTAAGGCTTTATATACAGGGCTGTCATGTGCCAATTTTTTTTTTCCCCTTCTCCTTCCCCGACGGATCCAAAGGTTTGTAACCAGACTTTCTTTTTGTGTTTCCAAGGGGAGGTGCTGAAAGCTCTTATTGGGTCTGCCCGCAGCCACTTGAAGCTCGCGGAGTTCCTCGCTGGAGCTCGGCACCGGCGCTTTCGCCCGCGATTTAAAGAGGCAGCGCTGGAGATCGCCTGGTGCGATTATCTCTCGTGTCCCCCCCCCCCCCCCCCCCCCCCCCCCCCCCCCCCCCCCCCCCCCCCTCCTGCCTCTCTCTCTCTCTCTCCTCTCTCTCTCTCTCTCTCTCTCTCTCTCTCTCTCTCTCTGTCTTTAAGGAGGAACGTTTTGCAGCGCTGCCGTGTTTAGTGAGCCTTTTTCTGCTTGTCTCTGCAGCCGCTTCGCTCTTTGCTCTGATTCAGTGCAGTCTCTCTCTCCCCTCCCGCTCCCCCGCCCTCGTTTCTCTCTAATTAAAGTTTCTCTCAGCCCACTGTTTTGGGCTTATGTTTTGTTTATAGCCAAAAGTATTAATGGTGCCTGATTCCCACAAGTGTTGCCAAGTTAAAGGCAGCTGTAAGGGTGCTGCACATGAAGAGGGAACAGTGGTCTGACCCAACAGTGTCTAAGGCTAAGGATTAGACGGATGGACGGACGGATGGATGATAGATAGATAGATAGATAGATAGATAGATAGATAGATAGATAGATAGATAGATAGATAGATAGATAGATAGATAGATGATAGATAGATAGAGGTGGGGTGGGGGTGTAGATGGATGGATGAGTGGGTGGGTGGGAGATAGATAGATAGATAGATAGATAGATAGATAGATAGATAGATAGATAAGATAGATAAGATAGACAGACAGACAGACAGACAGACAGATGGAGAGAGAGAGAGAGATGGATAGACGGGTAGGTGGATAGATAGATAGATAGATAGATAGATAGATAGATAGACAAACAAACAGACAGAGATGGATAGATGGGTAGGCAGATAGATAGATAGATAGATAGATAGATAGATAGATAGATAGATAGATAGATAGATAGATAGATAGATAGATAGATAGGGGTGGGGTGGGGGTGGATGGATAGATGGATGGATAGACGGATAGGCAGATAGATAGATAGATAGATGATAGATAGATAGATAGATAGATAGATAGATAGATAGATAGATAGATAGATAGATAGACAGACAGACAAACAGATGGAGAGAGAGAGAGAGAGATGGATAGATGGTAGGTGGATAGATAGATAGATAGATAGATAGATAGATAGATAGATAGATAGACGGGTAGGTAGATAGATAGATAGATAGATGATAGATAGATAGATAGATAGATAGATAGATAGATAGATAGATAGATAGATGATAGATAGATGTGGAGTGGGGGTGGATGGATGGATAGACGGATAGGTGGATAGATGATAGATAGATAGATAGATAGATAGATAGATAGATAGATAGATAGACAGACAGACAGACAGACAGACAGACAGACAGACAGACAGACACTTTTGACTCCTGAGAACTTGATCCTATGGCTGAGATACAGTGACTGGCCCAACGTCATCAAACTGGCTTCATGTCTAAGAAGGGACCAGAATTCACATTTACCCAGTTTCTAGCCTGATGCCTTCACCACTATAGGTAATCCTTGTTTAGCGACCACAATAAGGACCAGCATTAAGGTCACCAAGTGAAACCACTGAGGACTGAGCTTATGAGCTCACTTCAACTTTGCTTTGCTTTAAAGACCTGTGACAATTACTTGCATCCTGTGACGGTACCTTTAACGTCATCGAATAACAAGATCTGCCTCTCCCAGGTTCTTGGGAAGGGCTTGAGAAGTAGATAAAAATGCCAAATCCAGTTTAAACATCTGGCTGATTGTGCAACCAATTATAATAATATTTTATCTTTTTTTTTTAATTCTTTATAATGAACAGTTGCAGGAACTGGGTATGTCTAGTTTAATGAAAAGAAGGACCAGGGGAGACATGATAGCAGTCTTCCAATATCTCAGGAGTTGCCACAAAGAAGAGGGAGTCAAGCTATTCTCCAAAGCACCTGAAGGCAGGACAAGAAGCAATGGGTGGAAACTAATCAAGGGGAGAAACAACCTAGAACTAAGGAGAAATTTCCTGACAGTGAGAACAATTAATCAGTGGAACAACTTGCCTCCAGAAGTTGTGAATTCTCAAACACTGGAAGTTTTTAAGAAGAGACTAGACAATCATTTGCCTGAAATGGTATAAGGCAGTGATGGCTAACCTTTTCGGGACTGAGTGCCCAAAGTACATGTGCATGCACGCGAATGCGTGCCCACACGCCCAAACCCCCAAAATGCAATGCCCCTGCAGCCCCTGCACATGCACACGCACACACCCCCCGCATGTGTCCCACCCCCTGTGCATGCATGGCAGAGACCTGAAGACCAGGAGGCATACGCTCATGCACAGTGGAGCTGAACTGGGACGACGGCTCGCGTGCCCTCAGAGAGGGCCCTGTGTGCCACCTCTGGCACACGTGCCATAGATTCTCCATCATGGATATAGGGTTTCCTGACTGAGCAGGGGGCTAGAAAACCTTCAAGGTCCTTTCCAACTCTGTTATTTTTGTGGCCCGTCAGCAGCCTATGCAGCTAGTAGCTGATTCAGACAGCGAGGAGGCTGGTGTGGTGCTGCGTGAGTAGCCTGTGCAGCTGGCACTCGAGTCGGACAATGAGGAGGCTGGAGAAGATGTGGTGCCAGAGGCGGGGATTCAGCCAGGGACTTCAGAACCTCCAGAAGCTCCCATAAGTGAAGAGGAAGAAGAGGAGGAGCCGCTTCTCGATGCACGATTGCACAGAGCTGTTAAAAGGCAGGAGTGGCTCCTCAGGAGGAGGTCTCCTCGAGAGTAAGGCTTGGGGCTAATTGGCCACCCCTCAAGCCTATTTAAGGAAGGACGACGACTGATGCAATTTGCAAGAAACAACTTTGTTCATATTCCTTCGCGTCTTGATTCCAGAAACGTTTGATTCGGCTCTTGTTTCTCTCTTGTCAGTTTTCCTGCAAATTGCTTCTGGACATTCTGCCAACCACAGTAAGATTACGGTTATCTGAAATACTGTGCTTCAGAATTGAGTTATTATTCTTTGGATTCTTGTCGACTGTTAATGAAGTTAAATTAACAGCCCTTGTTCAGAAAAGACTGATTTAAATTGTACTTGTGTTCGAACAACTACTAAGAAAGCTCAGTAGTAGTCCTTAATTAGTAAACTAAGGTTTGTATGGACTTTGTGTGTGCTGCATTCTTTGGGGTCCGTAGCTGGGGCAGAACAGTTATTCTGTTATTGACTTGTCAGAAGCTGGCTGAGAAAGGATGTTGTGACTCTCATAAATGCAAGGACCGATTATAGGTGACTTTTTTCAGCATTGACCAATAAGGAAAGAATAACAATAGAGGTGCCAGGCAAGGGGTTTTGTCCCAGATGAAAGACCTATTCAATGGTCATTAAAAATATGACTTCTTCTTCAACTACCGAAGTGCAAATTTGCTTTGAAGACTATTTCAACTGGGAAGAAAATTTCCAGGTTCCTGCAAGGAAGGAAGGAGGTGTTTTTGTATGTGATTTCTTATGAGCTGGTTGGTGGGAGTGGGGGGCGGGGGGAATTGGCCAGGATGTGCATATATGTCTTTGCAAAATCTTGCCAACAGGTTGCAGCTTCCCATTCTTCAGATAAATCTCAAAAGATGTCTTCAGAATGAGCATTTTCCATTCCAGTTTCCTAAAAACTAAAAGCAGTTCCTAAAAAGGGGTGAAAATTTAGGTGCGTCTTATACACTGAATGTAGCCCCGCCCACCCACTGGCCCCCACCCTTTGGCCTCTGCCTCCCAGCAGTTTACCTCCTTGCAGCAAGCAGCAAGAAGAAACAGCTCCTTTCAGCTTCATCACAGCCTAATTAGCACAAGTTGATTGGAGCGGCCTCCCGACTCTCAGCTGATTTGCTCTCAGCTGTTTTGAGCAGGGCTCTGCTGCTTGCTGCAAGGAGGTAAATTGCTGAGAGCAGACTTTTTTTTTCTTGTGCTAATCAAGCTATGCTGAAAATGAAAATGGAAGTAAAGCAGGCTGTTTGCTGCAAAGAGGCAAAATTGCTGGGAGGCAGATTTCTTTTTCTTCTTTTCCTCACCAAAAAAGGTAGGTGCGTCTTATACTCCAAAAAATATGGTAGCTCATCGTTATAGACCTCTTGTTTCTGTTTCTATTTATAGTCCAGGCTGTAGGTTAGAGCAGGGTTGTCCAACCTTGGCAACCTTAAGACTTGTGGACTTCAACTCCCAGAACTCCCCAGTCAGCCATACAAATTGTTTGTATGGACATGTTTGTAAGGGGAGGCCAGGTAAATCAACCTGGTGACTTCATGGATATATCCACCTCTCATTGCCTTCCTAAGGGTAACATTAAGTCACATCTTTAATGTAACTGGTTACTATTATTATTGTTGCTGCTGCTGTTGTTATTTACTACCAGTTAGGTATATTGGTCCATCCAGCTATCCTTACAGATAAAGTGACTTTTTTCTAAACGTTAAAGATTTACAGCAGAGGTCTTCAAACTTGGCAGCTTTGAGACTTGTGGACTTCAACTCCCAGAATTCTCCAGCCAGGAGCTGAAGTCCACAAGTCTTCAAGCTGCCAAGTTTGAAGACCTCTGCTATGCTGGCTGGAGAATTCTGGGAGTTGAAGTCCACAAGTCTCAAAGCTGCCAAGTTTGAAGACCTCTGATTTACAGGGATACAGCGTGAAGTGAAGGACTGCATGCATTTTTAAAAAATCTAAGCTTCACTTTTATGTCTGGGTGGGTGGGTGGGTGTGTTTATGTATGTTCAGGACCCACTGGGATGCATGTGGACCCCATCCCAAAAGCTTCAAGTAAAATAAAACCCACCACTTCAATGCAGCGCTTTCCTAAAGCCATGAGTGGGTGTGAGAGGAATGACTTTTTCTCTTTCATGGTATCGTTCTTACTTTTGAAATTGTAAACCTTTAAGTGTTCTTAGGAGTTGGGTGGTCTCTACGTTAATTACATACATACATACATAGATACACACACACACACACACACGCACGCACATACATATAA